TAATGCATGTTTGACCTATGGATATAGTACATACGTGCATTGATGGTCGTAACACGGGAAAAGTTAGGAGTTACACAGTATGAGTTGGAAAACGGGCAGCGGATACAGGCGGAAATTAACTACTGCAAGCCGGTCATTATATTGGGGTTATTAAGCACGCGATGGCCATAGATGAAATAGAATCAGTGTAAATCAAAAGTGTCAATATAGATTTCATTTTGTAAAAGTAGCTGTCACCCATAAATCGAAAGTACAATGAAATGGGGAAACCTACCACAGTTATGATTTTGCTCTCTAATTCCTGATTGAGTTGGTTCAACTTTGAGTGGTCTTCTCGGAGCCTTAAAATAAAAAGAGAGTCATGGTTACTATGGGCTAGTAGTTTGGTTCACCCGAGATAGAACGTAAGAAGATGGAATAGAGGAACTCGGCAGAAAAAAAAACATGAAATCCGTAGCAGCAACGATGGATCAATTTAAAAGAACACGTTGAGATGCAGTTCGACAACATGCAGACAGAAGGATAGGTAGTTAAACAATTATCGACATCCCGTGAGTGAATCGTAACGCAAATGTACTTTTCAGTCCAAAAACTCTCGCTGAGATAGAAGGCAGAACACGGACTGACTGTAAAAACCCCGCTCGGTAAAAATGACTATGTAATTAGTGTGATTTTCCATTTATTTTCGATGCGCATATAAATTTTACCGCATAGTATACAAAACATGCTCAAAAAAAACCACTTCTGTAATCGTAGCAGAGAAACGTATGAAGACCCTCTTCAAACATTCAGCTCGAAATAACGGAATATTTCGATATAAAAAAGTGTGCACTTGTGAAATTTATTTAAGATGGCAAAATGTCCATTTACTAATGCTACCCATAAATTACCCAGTTCTGTGCAGTGCGCTATCTTATGACACCTTCGTTACTGCATAAGCTGTATAATTTAACTCAAAAGGAAAGTAAACCCCAGAGCGGCAAGTGGGGTTGAAAATTGGCCCGAAATTGAATAAATGCTACAAAGAAGAAAAGACACCTCCTTCTAGTCGACGTAGTTGACTTCAGAACGAGTGCATTCTCTCTAAAAAAATATTTTAAGATTTACGAGGACATCGAAAATTTATAGAAACCTTCCAGTTAATTGAAGGATCATTTTAGTTAGTTTTCCTCTTACAGGCTACTCTCAAAACCTAGCATATTACTGTGACTAGAATATGTTTCAAGTAAACTGCATGCTACTAGCCTTCACTACCCCAACTAAGTAATCGCCTCGAAACAACATAATATTTGAGGGGTTCAGTCCATTTTTCATGAAATAAGCTACCAACTGTATATTATAAAATCTGTTGAAACAGTGCAATAGTGCGATAGCCACTATAAATCATTTTCACTCGGCAGGCACGCTCCCGGTTGAGACGTCAATTTTCCGACTTCGAGAACAAATGCTTTCTGGACACGTGCGTCTCGGTTTTCTATAGTCTGTCGTATTTTCTTTCTAGACGATCTATCCTATCACCAGCAGGCAGAAAAGTTGCTAAAAACCGTACTGAGTAACGCATGCCGCATTAAGAAAGCGTGGGAAACATAAGCTTAATTAGGTTCAGTTAATTAACTAACCTATCGTAACGCATTCGATATTTTTCGATCTCTTTCTCATGTCTAACTGTGTCAGCGTCGTGTAACTTCTTGAGGTCGGTAAGTTCAGTGAGAAGGCGAGCATTTTCAGATGTTAACAGACGCAGCTCGCATTCTAGGTCCTTGGATTCAAACGGGGAGTGGGCAACGCTGTAAAAGAAAAATAATCAGTTAGACAAAATAAAAAGTCTAGGGCTTACAGCTCTTTGTTGTGATTTAGTATACAGATACACATGACTTAGTAAAAGATTTGCAAGAAAAGTCTGAAAATGTACTGTCGGGATTCAGTTATTTAAAAAAATGAGAATTAAACGCGGCAATTAACATGGGAGTTTTAAGCATCCAGTCGTAGGAAAATCCATTGTATGCAGAAAAATTTGAAGACGAAAATTTTCACTATTTTTATGGAGGTGTCACATATTAGCTGGTGGCTTCAACTACTTAATTGCGATTCATGGAAGGGGGAATAACACCATAAAATATACGTCAAAGCAACTGACGACGTTCTGAAAACATAAGATTTCCACAAAGCACTTGTCTCAAAACACTAATGTCAAAATAAAATGACACAAATTAAACGACCGAGGGACTCGTACCGCTAACCCTCTTCCCTTAACAAATTACTAAACACAATATAATTAGCGACTGCGTTGGATTCAGAAAAGACTGGGATATCCATTAGCTGAGCATTAATTTACGATTAGTTCCCCTATGAAAGTCGTAAGTCCTTTTTATTGCGGCAGCAATACATTCACTTTGGTTTCAATCAGAAAGTTTCTCTACCATTGGCTGTGGTAGTGAATCAACCCTATCATCGCTAATCCCAGTTTCTCCGAATGCGGTATGCTGTTCATGATAAGGGAATATTCATTGTAAGCTCACACTAACGTCCAACTACTGTGCTGTCACGGCCGCACCCCTATGATCGGCTCGTGGTCAACATTCCTGCTGCTGCGGCTGCCCTTTCCGCGTAAGACAGCTTGGCAGGCTAATAAACCGCGTCTAATTTAACACGTATCATGGAAGGCATGGAAAGGCTGCTGACGGCAATCAAAAAACTCAGTAAAATCTTAAACCAGGTAACAAGTATGCTTACTGAAATAAGTGTCTTCCAAAACAAGTGATCCCGTTTTCTTTACCCTTTTTCATCAAGCCTATTACGGACTTTGTTCAGTTCTTCGCCTCTTTTCAAGAGAAAATTGTCAGCCAGTAGCTGGTAGTGGCTGCTTTTTTAATCAGGGTTATTATACTATAGTGGTGGTGCATACAGTTAACTCCTTTTAAGGAAGGTTTGATAAGTCCTTTCAAGTCGGTTAGGGGAAACATGGTTCCGCCGCAGCGCGAAAATACACTAAAGCCTAAAGTAAGTTTCTGAAGTAGACTTGAATGCATGATTCCTTCAGATGCTTATTTGGGGGTCGAACGCCAAAATAGACCAGGAGACGTTCGACTTCTTTATTACAGTATGAAGTGCAGTCAAGGTAACAAGCAATGTCTTCAGTGGTAGGCAAGTTGAAGGATCGCCCATATGCCCAGAATAATTTCTCAAAAACATCAGTATGTACAACAGGCTGACCTTACTCTTAGACAAGGAAAGACGTATAAGAAAAAAGGATAAAAGTGATGAACAGATGCTTTCAACA